TGGTAGAAAAAGATGCTATTGAAACCAAAGTTGTGGTCTGATGTTTTAATTCTCACAATTTTCTTATAAAAAAGTCTCTTGGCTTACCTTGTAAATGACTCATGAGTTGATTCCAAACGACGTTTTAGTTTATTAGGAAGCATACTTTGACCCCCCAACACTTTGTGACAAACAATACATTGTAGAAGTACTCCTTTAGAAACGCAGCTAAATCCAAAATCCAAATGTTGGTCGTTATATTTCCTATAATTTTTCTTCTATTCTTTTGAATATAAGTATCCATTGTTGATAGCAAAAATAATTCGGATAATTCAAGGGTCTATCGACTTGATGTTATATTTTTTATTTGATTTATTTATAAATACATATATTTTATACTCATTTAAAATCAAATAAATTATTTTCTATAATAAAATTCCGCGTTGACACGCAACGCCCCTGGGATAACGCAGCGACGCCCAGGGCGTCGCGACGCACCGTTTGGGAAGGCCTGAAATAGATCATTTACCCGAGTATGACAACAAGAAGGAAACATCCAGATTCAAAAATGTTGGATGAAAACGAAAAACGCACGTTTTTGTGAACAATGTAATGTACATTTATGATTTGTAAAGAACAAAAATTGTTTCAAATATTTTCATTTAAATTAACCCAACATTTACTTAATACAAATATACTATATTTAATAAAAATATCGTATGTGATTATTTTCCTAAATTTTATTATAGTCCCAATGTCCATTACAATGGACATTCTGTACAAACGACATTTTAGCCTATTACAATCTTCCATTAAGAAGATTCAATAGAAATTTTTGTTTCTACAGAGAAAAAGTCAGATCTGAAAGGGTTAATTTTGTTAGAAAAATATAATTAAAAATAACATTAAATAAATAGTATTAAAATCATGAATGTGTTGCTTGTGTGAGTCCATTTCAAATAGGTAAAGAAATAATAAATAAGACTTACTCACAATCAATTTAATTTAACTATCAGACGACCGGTTTCGCTTTCTACAATATGCAAAGCATCCTCAGGTCTCGATACAAAGTTAAACAAATGCTGAAATAATAAAAACCCATATTAGGGTGTTGTCTAATAACGATAAACAAAGTAGGTGTTGTAAATTACAATAATTATGCCAATATTACATGTCTGTGGTTTTATTTAAATGAGTAAGTTGAATAAAAGGTATAAAATTTTTTTTAAAAAGGTTAAACAGACAAGGTAAGGCCCACAAATTGTTATAAATAGTCTCTTCGATTGTAATAAATTAATAAATGAGCAAATAAATAAATAAAATAAACATTACTTACATGCCGGTACTCTATTAATAGATGGATGGTAGAACATGTTTGAAACTACTTTATATTGTTGAATGGAGAACTCAATTCTATTATTGCAGTTGTTTGACAGTAAACGGGAAGTTCTTGAGGAGATAGATTTGATCCAATGAATTTGAGATATGTGTGAGATTGTTTGTTAAATGTAAGTGATGTAATATACTATTGTGTTATTAAAGGCTATTTATACTTATTCCAGAGATATATTTTTGAAATGTGTGTTATTTATTGAGTAATTGTTTTATGAAGGTGACAGTTTTATGACAATGAATAAGTGTAGATGTAAAAATTGTGTGGGTGTGCAATTATTTTCCAACTTGTAGTTATCAAATTACTTTGATAAAGTTCTATTGGCAATGAGTTAATTATTGGAATAGTCAAGTAAATAAAATGTTAAAATACAAACAATTAAGGATAATTTAAACACACTAAAACAGAAAACACTTAGAAGGGACGAAACAAACATTGAATTTAAAAGGGGGAAGGACTTTAATGCACTACATCATAGTCTTGGGCACAATGAGTTTTTTTATTGTTGTATCTATTAGATTTTAGTGGTAAATTTTGACAGATGTAGGTTAGCATGTGACAGTTCTTCTTCTGTTTCTCAATACTGTAAGTTAAGTTATCTAGTTTCATAAAATATGCTGTTATTAATGAATGTCTATAAAACTGTTTCAATTTAGATATCAAAAGTAAATTGATGTGTTTAATATTGGCATACTTTAACAATCTTTAATTAATCAAATTTAATGTAACAATATGGATAATTGAAATACATCCTACAATATAACTAACTCAGTCTAATGTCCAAATTACTGAACAAATTAAAGTAATTCTTTGGCAACTGAACATGTACATTTAATAATCAAATGTATAATAAGTTTACAAAGTTTTTTATTTTTTATTTGAAATTGATGTAGGTATGAGTTATCTGTCCGGGTATTTTTTAATTATTAGAGATATTTTTTCAAAATCTGATATATTAATATCTAATATACTAATATGTAACCAAAGCAACAAATGGATAATTATTGATGGTAATTAATTTATGGGCTCAAGAAATTGACTGAGTTATAAAGCCTTCAATAATTAGTTGTAGTTCTAATATCCGACAGTTGGAACCGGAAATTGTTATACGAACAGGTAGAATGATCGTCTATTTAAACCGGTATAAGGTAAATTTATTCTTATTTCAATTTTCGGTGTCATATGAACAGATATTCCTCACACCTACATGGACAATGGTGAGTTTGTACAATTGTTTCAAGTAACACTTTAAAATTTTTTTTCAATTAATAGCTGTTTGTGAAAATTAATATTTCTATTTGAAATGTAAATTTGTGTATAATTGTAATTAGTAAAGATGTATTCAATTAATACAGCTAGTCTGAACGATTAACGTGTTATTTTTGATGATACTCAAAACACGTGTTGAGTTTGAAATCAAATTTTTTTGTAAGATGAGTATATTTCGGAACCAGATGGAATGTAATAATAATTGTGGGTTAAATAAGTTGGGGTACCATACCAGTTCAATACTGATATTTAATGTAGTTTTAGGAAAAATTGTTTCCGGTAGTATGTTAAAATGTTAAAGAAATTCTGTGAACAAAGAACTAGATCCAAGGGGCCTGATTTTAATTTTGAAGTAGAAGATTGAAATGATCTAAGAGGTGTATCAAATGCATCTGATTATATATGGAATTCTGAAATAAATGTTGTTTGACCATAATATTGAAGTTACTTCTGAAAAATATGTAATGATTAGGATAATATATGGAAAACTATTCCATTCCATAAATGTTTATCATCTGGCCCCATGGTCAACATACCCTTTCTTCCTTCCTAGATCATCTTAACTCACAACATCCGAGTATAAAATTCACAATGGAAGTAGAAAATAATCGGTCCCTTCCCTTTCTCGATGTGTTAGTCACCTCCAAGCCCAATGGCCGTTTGGGTCACTCTGTTTATAGAAAAAAGACTCACACGAATCGTTACCTACATGCTTCATCACACCACCATCCTGCCCAAAAGAATTCTGTGATCAACTCTCTCATCCATCGGGCCATTTCGATTTCTGAACCTGACAACCTTAGAGAAGAACTTGGCCATCTGCAAAAAACCCTTGTCGCCAACGGTTACTCCAAGTCCACAATTCAAAATATTACACACCGACATCTACATCCCCCTTTACACCCTAGGACGACAAATTCAGAATCTTCGGGTAATACTCCTGTGGCTTTTCTTCCGTATATTCGAAGTGTCACTGATAGGATTGGCAAAATTCTTCGCAAAGAAGGTATCAGGACTACTTTTCGACCACCCAAGAAAATCTCACAATATCTACCCTCTCCTAAGGACCCATTACCGCCCCTATCTTCCTGTGGTGTCTATTCTATTCCTTGTTCATGTGGACATGTGTATATTGGCGAAACTGGTCGTTCCGTCAAAACTCGGATTCAAGAGCATCAAAGATGCATTCGATCAGGTCTTTTCTCCCATTCTGCAGTTGCAGAACACTGCCAAGAAACCGGTCATTCCATATTGTTCGAAAAAACCCATATTATTTCTAAGAGCCCCTTCTTTTATTCCAGGAAAATCCGCGAATCTCTAGAGATCCGAAAAAATCCACATAATATCAATCGAGAGGAAGGATACTACTTGTCTCCCATCTGGAATCTCAGTCTAGAGCCGCCGTCCGGTCCCGCTACCACGATGCAGCCACATGATTGGCCAGCGCGCGCTTCTTGACGTTCGCGCCACGGAGTGTGCCGATACGTCCCGACACGACAGGTCACCGCGACTATAAATAGAGCGGTAGCGGAGTAATCGTCGGATTCACTCCCCGCCTCTCGACGCGTTAGTGTTCTGAGCTGTTGGACGTGAATCCCTGTCCTGGCATTTGGTTTTCACCTCTGGCTGCGTTGAGTAGTTGAGTTACTGTGACCAAATGCCCATCTTGGTAGTTAGTATTCGCCTCTGGTTGCGTTGAGTAACTGAGTTACCGTTGCTAACTACCCATCTTCCTGTCTTCTTTTACTTTTTCTTTTTCTTTGTTCTCCTGAAGAAGCTACATACAATTGTAGCGAAACGTCGAGATGAACCCACTTTTGGGTCACTCACAAATGACACGGTCCAAACCCGGAAGACGAATAAACTATAATTCTGACTCTGGCCGTGGAAGCCTACGATTTCATTTAATATAAAGTAGTTTCAAACATGTTCTACCATCCATCTATTAATAGAGTACCGGCATGTAAGTAATGTTTATTTTATCTATTTATTTGCTCATTTATTAATTTATTACAATCGAAGAGACTATTTTATAACAATTTGTGGGCCTTACTTGTCTGTTTAACCTTTTTTAAAAAAAATTTATACCTTTTATTCAACTTACTCATTTAAATAAAACCACAGACATGTAATATTGGCATAATTATTGTAATTTACAACACCTACTTTGTTTATCGTTATTAGACAACACCCTAATATGGGTTTTTATTATTTCTGCATTTGTTTAACTTTGTATCGAGACCTGAGGATGCTTTGCATATTGTAGAAAGCGAAACCGGTCGTCTGATAGTTAAATTAAATTGATTGTGAGTAAGTCTTATTTATTATTTCTTTACCTAAATAGTATTAACTCTCATACCTTTATGCAGCAATTCTACAGGTTCATCGCTAACTGAGCTCTTCGTTTCTTTCGATACATCCGACTCATACAGCTCATAGCTATTCTTACAAGGACACTCTCTCTCTTTAGAACCCTTGAGCTTCTTGTGCTTCTTCTTTTCGTGGCAATGCTTCCCGGACTTCATTTTCTTACGTTTCGGTTCCTCGCTGGAATGTCTTCGAGATTTTCGTTTATCTTTCTTACGTTTCTTCGGTACGTCGCATTCATGGCTCGGTTTTTCATTTTCTTCCAAAATTCTTTGTTCTGCTAGAGCGCACAACAAATCGAGACCATCCAGAGTTGTCGTACTCTTCGGCGTATCGTTATCTTCTGGTACTATTTCGGTATTTTGCTGGGCTGATTCGAACTGGTCTATACTGTTTGAGAGTAGTTCTAGACCAGTCAAAACAAGTTTTGATTCGTTCGGTTCGATTTCGTTAGGCTAAAAAAATTAATTCAATGTAAGAGAGTGTAAAACGCATAAAAATTATATTAAAGAAATAAAACAGTATTAAAAAAATAAAAATGAGCGAATAAAAAAGACAAATTACGAGGAAACGGCCAAAAATATTAGCCTGTGCCACAAGCGATGAGGATATCGTACCAGTTGATATATTTTTGTATGAAGTACTACATTGGCACTGTTTAGGAAAGTATTTAGTATTTATTTTCATATTTTACATTTAATATTTTTATTATCATACTATAATATGATCTTATTTAATGGTATATTCTATATATTCATAGACATTGAGGAGCGTTTGATAAAACCACATTCCCAACTATCACCCAACAGCTCAACGTTAGGAATGTTCCCCTGGCCATAAGCAAATGGATATTTAGTATGCTCTCTAGTAGAGCAATAAGCATAAATGTAGAAGACGTTTCTGTTAGAGGCATGGTTACGAGGGGATGTCCACAGGGAGGGGTGCTATCACCACTACTATGGAACATAGTTCTAGACACCCTGGTTGACCAACTCAACAGCAACGGTTTCTACACAATAGCCTATGCAGACGATATTGCTGTCCTGCAAAGCGGTAAGTTTGAGAACACACTATGTGAGAGATCACAAGTTGCTCTTCGACTAATAGAAACATGGTGCAAGGAACACTCACTATCTATAAATCCTAAGAAAACAGAGATGGTCCTCTTTACCAGGAAAAGAAGAATCACGGGCTTAATACCCCCAAGGATTCTAAAACTACAGTCTAAATTTTTCTGACGAGGTGAAGTACCTTGGTATTACCCTCGACAAGAAGTTAACATGGAACTCACACCTAGATGGTAGAGCTAAAAGAGCATATATTGCCTATGAACAGTGTCGACGAACGGTTGGACGCACCTGGGGCCTCACGCCCAGGGTGATCGCCTGGGTCTACACCGCTGTCATTAGGCCAATGCTAACTTACGGAGCTATTGCTTGGGTACCAAAAGTGCTACAGGCAACAGCGATTAACAAACTAAACCATATTCAGCGGATGGCTTGCATAAATATAACAGGTGCCATGAAAACAACACCAACTGCTGCAATGGAGTTGATGCATAGCTTAGACATATATGTCAAAGAGGTGGCTTTAGTGACAATGATGCGACTGCGCTCAGCTGGTGCAAACCTTGATGTAGGAATGGGACAATTGAGAACTCGTTTCTGGCGGGAGAGCTGGATGCGTTACCAGTACTACAGGCAGGCTGCGACTCAATTGAACCAAAGTTCGTCTTTAACAAACCCTACAAAATTGAAACAAGACAGTGTATGGAGACAAACGTGGCAAATGCCTATTGCATATACACCGATGGCTCCAAAATGAAAGAAGGCTCAGGATGCGGGATATACTCCAGATCACTGAACCTAAGAATAAAGTGGGTATGGGCAAAAATGCCAGTGTAGTTCAGACAGAACTAACTGGTATTTCCATAGCCGCAAAAGAGATAACCCAAAAAGGTATAGCAGGGAAAACTATAATGATCTGCACAGATAGCAGACAAGCGCTACTAACCTTGAATAGACCACGTGTCACATCAGGTTTAGTAATGGAGTGTCACGAGTCACTAACTCAAGCTTCGGATGGTAATACCATCATCCTGAAGTGGGTTAAAGGACACAATAGGAATAAAGGCAACCGCATTGCTGACCAATTATCTAGGAAGGCGGCAGGCCTAAGACTCTTAGGACCTGGGGATCTTTTTGGTTGGTCAACTACAACAATCGCGGAAATTGTCAAATGTCACTCCCATACGCAAACCGTAAAAAGATGGGAAGAAGGGAAAGGATGTAGACTTGCCAGGGTAACACTAAGTAACCTTGAAGAGTCAACATCAAAGAAGTACTTGGGAATGACCAGGAAAAATCTACGTTTGGCAGTTGGTTTTTTAACTGGTCATTGTCAACTAAGCAAACACCTCCACACACTGGGGCTAGTAGACACACCTCTATGTAGGAAGTGTGAACGAGAAGACGAAACTGTAGAGCATGTCCTATGTGAATGCCCAGAGTTATCGTTAATACGAGAGTACGCGTTCGGCGAGTCCTGGCCTACACCTGCCCACATAAGTGAGATGTCTCCTGGTGACTTGTCCACCTTCCTAGAAATGGCAGGATGGACAATGAGCTAAGGGTGACAGCTCCCTGGGAGGATGCACAATGGGTCAATTGTGGCCTAAGTGCTGTGAAACTTAACTCGCCCTCCCTACTCTACAGATACAGAATGGTATATTCTAACTACTTATTTACTTTAAAAGATATTAGGTTCTTCTATTCAGTAAAATCTTATTGTCAAACTGCCTAGCATATGTAGCCTGTTTTTAAGTTCAATGAAACTGGCTTTTCTTTTGTTATTTAAAAATTATGTTGCAAGCACAGAAAACGCTGTAAAGTATCATATTTCTGGCCACTTAGTTAGATTATCGCCATTCAAAAGCGACATCCAATAGAGGTGATTTATGGAATGCACTTGCCCCACGAACCATTGACCACCCTTTAAAATTTGTAGGTGCAGATTTTTATCCTTACAAATTAGGACGCTTACTATCGAGACAGCGTATAGTAATCAACTTGAGTTTTTTTTGCGCCTCGGCCTGCTCCGCGACGGGCAGATACAACTCTAATCCACTGACTACAATAATTAATACACCATATTTCAAAGGTAAGTCTTTTCTTTGCACATATAACAGCAATGAGTTGAGCCAGCTAATTTTCGTAATATTTAAATTAATTGCTAGTATTCACAATCAGAATATTGCATTTTTTCTTCATTATTATTCTAATTTTATTTAACCAGCGACCTTTAGTTTTACACACAAAACAGTCACTACAAAAAACGTATCCGAAGACAACAAAAGCATTAAATTACTACTATCTTTGATTTTTTATATCGTTGCATTATATTCGTTAAATCCTATGACGTGACACCTTAGACGTCTCTGTACATTATGCTGTTTAGGCACTATAGGCTTAATGTCCTTTGGCACACTGCGATGTTCGATTTTTCTGTCATATTTTATTCGTTAAATTGTATCCTGTGACACCTCACACGTTACGATCAGACCAATGGGCGCAAAGATACGTACACAATTCCTTCTAGCATGACGCAATCTTTAGTTTTTTCTACGTGTTTCTACGTGACTTCCGCTTTCTCTTCCTTCCAACGACCGGCGACCCCTCAAACATTGCCATCCGTTGTTCAGCCGTTCTCTAGCTGAGTGGCTTTGTGGACAAGACAAGGTTACTATTTTGGACCTTAGATTTTCCTATGTACATAGTCGGAAAATGTGTGTCAACAACATGAATCAATTTTTGGAAATATTGACATTTCTTCATAAATCCGTTTTTATTGTCAACGCACCATTCTAAGCAGAAACGACATCAATCTCGACAAATACTCATTCCATTCGAAAACCACACGAGTCATCGACTGATGTTGTTTCGGCGCGGAATTATCATCTGTAAGCAAAACGATCAAGATGACTGCAATAAATGACACGAATAATGATCTGAATTGAGAAAAACGTAAAAAAAGACATAAAAAAGACAATTACAGAAATTATTTAAAAAGCGAGGCTATGTGGGGAAGAATATGAAAATTATGAAGGTAATGTTGTACCCGCAAGAAATCCAGGAGGAGACTGTCGGTAAGTTTTAAGGTTAAGATAGTTTTAAAACGTAAAATTATCATATATTTTTTGTAGTTGTCGCTTGAAGTGCATTACAAAAGTTAATGCGGATGTAAGGGCTAAAATACTTGCCTAATTCAGAATCAATGCTTACTAAGAATGTACAAGAGTTATACTTGTAAGGGCATGGGAAAGTGCGAAGTAAAAAAGAGACGACCTCTAAATGAAAATCCAAAGAATAGAAGATATAACATTAGTTACTCCGTGACAGGCTCGGGTGGCAAAATTATTGTTTGCAAAAAAGCTTTCACGGGAATTCACACTGTGAGTCATAAAAGAATTTGAAAATTTTTTAAGCCTTTATACAAGGTAAAGCATCACTAGATAAACGTGGAAAAATATTTCAGAGAATACTATGTCTAAAAATTTAATAGAACAAATTAAGACTCATATTGGAAGTTTCCCACTAATATTTCACATTACACAGAGAAAGAGAAGCATTACCTGGACAAAATATTGAATGAGACTTTTTACTTTCGTCAACTACCCTACAACGTCTTTGGAATTCACAATATGCAAAAAAAAACCAGGGAGGTTTTACATCTACCACGAGGGTCAAGCCAGAAAGGGTCCCAATGAAGTTGTTTCATTTCTTACGAATTATATCCAGTCTGAAGTGCCTACTGCTATGAAACATATTCACTTATTTTCTGACAGCTGTACCGGTCAAAACCGGAATTATACTGTAGTGAGGTTTCTACTTTCGTTAGTAGTAGAACGATAGAAACTTGCGGCAATAAAAAGAAACATAAAAAACTTTGATCGTGTTTACCACCCAAAAGAATATACAGAAATGAAACTAAATTCTACACGACACAAAAAGTTTCTTGTTAAAATGGTGGAAAAATTGAATATTTTTTAATTTAAAAAGTGGTGGCCTAAACATTAGGCCACCACAAAAAAAACGTGTTTGTCTACCGACTCAATGGGTAGAAAAGAAAACAATAAAAAATCACTTTCTAGATTTCAAACTACTATCATTTTTTTTATTCTTCAAACCAACCAGGGACTGTAACAGTATTATCAATGGTTTTAGCACTAAAAACTTTAAACTTAAAATAAGTGATAGAATTCCATTTGTATCAACAGTTCTGGCCTATCCAGATGGTAAAGTACCAATTAATAAAAAAAATGGAAGATAAACGCAAGCTCATGAGCTACATACCAGAGGAAAAAAGCCAAATCCAAAAAAATGTCAATCGTGAGGATATTACAAACGACTTACCTCAGGTTCCGGCATTGGCTCCTCCACTTGCGTTTCTTTTTCGATTATAACCGGCTTCACTTCTATTTCTGGTTCTTCTTCGTGTATTGGAGTCTTTTCCAGCACCTCCGTACCTGCGGAGATTATGCTGGTATTTTCTTCCGCGCATATTATCGAATCAGTTTGATTACTGGCATCTTGTACGGCAGATGTCTTCATTTCCTTCACGTGAAACTCTGGCGGAGGGGTTAGACATGTCACGGGAGACGTGGCTTGAGATTTACAGGATGTTTGAGTTACTACTACAAATAAAATGTAACAATTGAATAATCTTGATATCTTCATGTTATGACTATCTATACTAACCTGGCTCTGTTGCAGTATTTTGTGACATAATAAAATTGGTAGGGTGCTGGTAGATAACGTGTGTGGTGATTAAAGGTGTAACATCAGTGATAACAGTTGCTGTGCTCGTAGCAGTAGAACTAACAGGTTGCAATGTTTTCGCTTGATCTGTTTCTATTTTAATCAACGTTGTAGTAGGAATCTGTAGAGGAATTTTTCGTTTGTTGTCTGTCGTCAATGCTACCAAGCGAGTACTATGCGCTTGTGTCTGTTGGTGAAAAGTTGTTCCGGAAAAACAATGGGAAGGGGTGGTGGGTACTATTTGAAAAGACGGAGGGGGGACAGGTGGCAGGGATGGCAGTAACATTTGTGAGTGTTGAGGATAGCCGGACCAAACGACTGCCTGCTGAAGGGAATCTAAAGAATATTAACAAATGTTAAACATTTTTTAAAAGAAAATCAAAACTTCTTTACCTAAACCATTAGTGGAAAGAAGAAGTAGTCCTCCAGTATTTGGATCGCGTACCACCTGCAATCCTACTGGAGGGATCGGCACGGGAACAGGAACCAATGGTTCTACTGGAACTGGAGGCACCGGTGCTACAATTAAAAAATATATTTATTAAATGTAAATTCTGCAAAATCTTTTGAAACTCTATACGTATGTGATCTATCAAAAGAAAATTCCCTGTGCTTGTTGACATCAAAACGTTTTCGGTCTTATCAGACCATCATCATCATATATGGATCCAAAAAGTAAGTGGCCTTTTAAACTCATGGAAAGCAAGGGCTTTAAAAAGTCTGTTCGTGAATCTTTTTACTTTTTAGTTCTCGTCCTTTAAATCATCTGTTAGTTTTCTATGGTATAAACATTTTGATAAATAACATGTGTTTTGGAACCGGTGAGAGTTTACCGTTGGTTGGAGATGTTTCTAAAAGTATTCCTTAATTTCCTGTTAATTAACATCCCAAAACAAAATACCATAATTTTTCGCTTGAAAAAAGTAACATCTTAAGTAATACAAAAAAAACTGCCCCGCAAACATTTTTTGACGTCTCTCGAATTGAAAGTGGCTCTAGCAAATTGTGATCGAAATTAAAACGAAGGGGAGACAAAGTAAGCTTTTTTATTTGGATTATTCTTTAGACTGTTTGTTCTAAAGAATTTACTTGATTGTTATTACTGTAATAATATTATTACAGCTATAATTCCGTATCTTTCCATTTATTTCAGCATTCCGATATAAAAATAGATATTAATAGTGCCATTAGATGATTCTAGTAGGTTATATACTAAATAATGTCAATTCTAGCGAATATATAGCAAAGTTTAGAACCACATGCATACACCAAAGCGCAAAGAAAATGTTTACGATGCTAATGTTCAAGTGTTTGTATTTATATAAAAACAGGTTTGTGTTTGTTCTAACCAATATTTTTTAGAAAAATATCTGTCTCTGATGTACAACTCAATGTATAATGTCAAATAATTTAACAAAAGAAACGATAAGTTGAAAATAAACGACAGTAAACTAAACAAAATAAACGATAACGAAAAACAAAAAGACAAAAAGTGGACTCACGAGAGTATTGCCAGACAGTAGAAGACGATAGGTAAGAAGCGTCATCCAAATGTCGTGTTCCAATTCCTGTCGCTTTGTCGTCTGAACATTGTATCATGGCATTATCTCCAAGAGTACCTGTCAATGACGATGAATTTACTGTCATTGTATTGTCCGATCTAGAAGAATCTAGAACAAAGACACATTGACACTGCCAGGTAGTATCAAGTCAGAGAACGTATTTCTAGAGAAGAAATGTGGTACATGTGGGAAAATTATTGTTCTCAAACCATACAATACAGGGTGGCCAAAAACTCTTTATACAAACGAAAAATGCAACCTTTAGGGACAGGTTATCTTCAACGTTAATAATGACATTTCATAAATAGATATCATTATTCATTATAGTGCATTCTGGAAATAAAATCTGTCCGTTAGAATTTCAAAAGGGCGGAAATCCATTTTCACAGTAAATGGAGGTATGCAGTCAATAATACACTTAATGGTTAATTCTATGGTGTTCTGTAATAATAATCTAAGCGACATAGGTATATATGGTTCAGAGTAAATGAGCATAATGTCTCTACCTACTTTAAACAATTCACTGATAGAAAATAAGGCTTAATTTTCACATTTTTATATTTCAATAATTACAGACTACCTTAAAAAACGTACAAAAGCAAAATAAGTAAAACAGTTTAGTGTAAAAATAACTTAAAGCGGCTTAGACGGTTTTTGCAAAATTGTAAAAATATAAGTTGACTATTTTGCAATAACCGTCTATCCCTCTGAAATGGTAAACACATAGAAAAAACTTCGACTTCTAGTTTCTACTAATAGTAAGTAACTGTTACTGATTAAATTCCTACTCGATTTGATCTTGATCAATCTCGAAATCAGGATATAACCCAATTCCATCCAAATCTTGTTCAAAATCTTCATGGCTGATGTTGTTCAAATGGCATCTTGGGGAATTAACTTAGAACAAATCTTTAAGGTCCTTTATTTTTTCAGCGGACAGTGGTTTGCCATTTGGCCACAAGGGAGGCAACTCTATATTCTTTAAAACAGATTTTCGACCTTTACCTGATTTTTCAATATTTACCTCAGAAAATTGTTGATCTCTCACGTTTTTTCATGTACAAAACTGTAGGACTTTCCTTTGTAATATGTATTACATGTATTTTTAGCCAATAAATAACATCCTTATTTATACCTGTTTTGCGATTTGTTGTGGATTGTAGCAAAAGACTAACTGAAACCATTTCTTCTGATCTTAGACGGTTTACAACAAATTTATTTTTTACTCGGCAGGATCTCATTATTTCTATGTAATCGTTAGGCAGGAAACTATGCCCAAAAAGTAAAAATTTTAACGAACGGATTCAAGGGACGTATGGTTTTGAAGTATGTGAATAGCATTAACACTAGCTTAATACTTCTATTCTGCCCCTCACAAGAATCATACCATAGAATTAATTTATTTACGGGTGCCTTTATATTTTCATTAATATATTTACGCAGATATGAACCGACTTCTTGTGTTCCCGTGCCTGCCTCTTGCTCTGTCCATACAATGAAAATAACTCTTTTTGTACTGCCGACATAAAAACCTACATTAAGTAAATTTAATATGCGACTTTTGCGCACGCCTTTGTAATATGCGACTTTTGCGCATGCCTTTTCTAATATGCGACTCCAGTCGGTATTTTTGGTAAAGGATGAGTTTTTTGGAGATCAAAAGTCAGGGTCTCCAGTGTTTCATCCTCTTGTGCGCATATTAGATCAGCCTTCATTTCACTCCTTAACTCATTTGCAATTTCAAAATGTTCCCTATGATTTCTTTCTAGATTCTCCTTCTGTGTAGCCTGTGCAGAACTAATTTGGGCTTTGTATATATCACACATTCGACATGTATCCTTATGTGGTGTCTTAAACTTTATATTAAAATTTGAATAAAACAGACGTTTTTATACTTCGTAAGACTCACTGGGTTTTCTGTAGTATCTGTGTAGAATTGATACATTTTTGATAAATTCATGTCAGGATTTGAAAATTTGGAGTCCGTTTGATTGCGACAATAATGGGACACATATGTTGGAAATGACGCTATATCCATCTTAATATTTTCAATTCTTTCTTCATCAATTGAATTTTCTCCACCACTATGTATACCCCTTTTATCTTTAATAAAATTACTTTTTATTTGATATAAGGCTACGCGGATTCTATTATGGTTGATCTGAAGTGTATTTAAAAAGGTTTCTTTGCAAACGAGATTGCCATCTATAAAGTATTTTCTTGACTTACTTCTTGATGTTTGGTTTTTTGTGTAACATCTTTTCTTGTTTCCCTCTTCAACATATTTTGAATTGGTCGAAAAATCTTCTTCTCTTTTCAACATTTACAATATCGTGACATTTTCTCGGAACATGGACAAGAGTAATCTTCATTAAACTTTTAGGTACCTAATACAATTTTGTTTCTTGCCGAAACATATTTTTGGTTACAATTTGCAAACTTTTTTTTGGTCTTGATTGATTTAGTTTTTTTTCTTGATCTTCCGTGTTTCTTTCTGACATCATTTTTTGTTATATTTAAATAGATTTCCATTATCCTCTTGGGCTCTCGTTTCGTCTGTAGAATCAGTTTTCTCGGATTCAAGAAAATATTCACTGCCAGAGGACTGGAATAAAAGATCTACCCCACTACCCGACTAACGTAGCTAATTTTAAAACGTGATATATTTATATTTCTGTGTGCAAGTATTATAATATGGGCATCATAGGTCCAAATTAGTTTAACTGCCGTTTGTTGTTAATATTAAATAAAAATTTATATCTACTGTGAAATTTTAAGTCAAAATAAGTTTATGCGTAGCTCAAATAATAAAAATTATAGCCACTGAACTAAGAACACCCAGTTTGTGATTTTTTGCTAACACTGCCTACATGATAACAACCTTCCGCACTCGTTTAAAGTTTAAAACGATGTGTTAAAAAATATCAAAATCTTTTGCTGAGCAGAATTTTGACTATCAAGCAATAGTTCCAATATTTTATATAATGAACAATAGGTTTCGTTATTTGATAATGTAATTTTTTGTCGGCATTTATGACACCAACATACGAGTAATCGCAAAACATATTATGTTACCTTTTCGGTACACTATCTGTGATAAAAAGAATTTAAAAATTTCTTTAATCAATTGCCGAGCTGACAACATAGAAAATTACCAAATAATATACTTTCGTATTTTACCATTAAAGATAAAACCTCTAGTTTGCTGCAATTTTATTTATTTAAATACAATTGTAACATTATTGTAATAATAAATGTCTTGTCTTTTAATAAGTCAAATTAAAGATTTGTTCAATTTAATATTTTGCATCTGGTGCACACAATGAAAAAACGCTTACAAAGATTTGCAACAAGCGTCTAAAATATATAATGAAAACATGGGTTAGACTATTTTTACAAATTTCTGTTTTCATATTATTTGACGAATGTGGTTTAGAACTTAGTTCACAGACGCCTCCGTGAGTATGGATATGGCTTATATCATTTTTGCTTGATGTATTATGCATTATGATGGACAGTTTGACACGTCTAACCTCATTTGTAAACAAATGTAGGATAGACGGTTGTTGCAAATCACCGTCCAATTATCTTTCGAATGGTGCTCAATAGGTGGTTGTCCAGGTCGCTATAAGTGGTTGTCCCTATGTGGTACATCGGTCTTTTTGCATGGCACACTGATTCTTAGAAAGACGGTAGTCCCATCTCTATGGACAACCGCATGTCAGCTGTGTAAAAATTCTTTCGACACACTACTAATTAAAAGTAGGTACACAGAGTTTAACCTACTTTTGTAAAAACATGTTTCAGAACAGAAAACCATGTTTCTGTTAATGAGAATCTTAAAACCTACTGTCAGTTAAAGCCTGTTATGTTTAATGATGTTGCAAATGGAAATTTCTCCGTGGATGAAGAAATTGAGATTGAAAACATATTTGATGAACTTTCTTGTAGTAGATATTCTGATAACTCTGTGGATATACTCATATGAACCAGATATATTCATATGAACCAGATGATAACAGTATCAGTAATGATTGTGAGGAAAATACAACTATTACCTGTGTTCAAGAATACGATTACAGAAAGGTGCTTTCCAAAAAACTGAATATGGATAACAGTATTAAAGTGAACAAGTGAGATAAAACAGAAACAGTTGTAAAGAAAACTAGAACGAGAAAGCAGAAGCCTTCAACTTTTTAACGTAACGTAACAAACGTGAAGAGACGATTAGAAAAGGAATATATAGGTTTTAAAAATAAATTTAAAAAAGCCAAAGTAGGTCCCTCGTGCAATAGATTATGTAGGTTTAAATGTACTATTAATATACAGGATAATGTTAGAATGCAAATATTTAATAATTTCTGAAAAAGTCAGACAGACTGAGACCATGGAAGTTACTGTTAGCAGAAGACGTTTAAGAAATGACAATCAAAAGGACCGAAGACAGCATTCTTACACTTAAACTCTCCTCTTAAACAGATCTAAAACAAGGTTGTGCAAGTATTTTTTTTAACTACATTTGCCATCTCTGAGAAAATGGTCAGAAATTCAATAAAGAATATTAATGATGCGGCTGGGTTGATAATCAGTCACCAGGTACCTAAACAACAAATTCCAGAAGAAGCAAAACAATTGGTTATGGAACACATAAATTGTTTTTCAAAAATTGAAAGTCATTATTGATGCAATAGGTCTGGAAGAGAATATTTAAATCCAGAACTAAACGTAACAATACTGTACAAATTATATTTAAAGTAGATTAACAAGAAGGAGCATGCAAAAGAACTTGTAGAGAAAAGTATGTACCGGGAAATTGTTTCTACCGAGTTCAACTTTCATTTCAAGCCCCCTAACATTAATACAGGTGATATCTGTGACAATTTTGAAAATAAGTGAAAAGAAGCAGATCTTAATGGAGTTGAAGATATTTTAAAGAAAAAGGCAGATCATTTGAATGACGCAGAAAACAAATACAAGTTAAAAAGGCAGGATAAGATTAGATGCAAGCAGAATTTAAAAAAAGTCTTAGCAATGATGGATTTGCAAAAATGCCTCCCCACACCTATGTTAACTAATGCAAAATCGTTTTATTTAAAGCAGTTATAGAGATTTAATCTTAATGATAGTACTGTCGAAGGTTCATGTTTCATATGGAACGAGTCTATTGCAAAAATGGGTGGCAACGAGATAGCTACCACTGTAATATGGTTAAAAAATTTGCCTTCTACAATAGAAGAGGTAACATTTTGGTCAGACAACTGTTCTGGCCAAAACCGAATATTTTTTTTATTTTGTACGTATATGTGGGCTGTCCATAACACCTCATTAGTTAGAATTCATACACACAACGAAGCAGACACACTACATGCACTGATTGAGAGGAAGAAGAAGACGACTGCTATGGGTACGTCTGTACCCCATGAATGGGCCTAGTATATAAGGACCTGCAGTTCTTTAAATCCGCTGCTTATTGCTTATAAACAAGTGACTTTTTCAACTTAAAAAAATGGGCAAAGAATCGACAAGTCCGTTTATTAATAGGAAACGGAACACAGACAATGAACCCTTTCTATCCTCTAAAATTGTGCACTTGAATGTCGAAAGAGACCACCCTTGCGTTATGTTTTATAAAATAACATTTCCCCAGAAAAATTTTAAAAGTGTCAATTTTAAAAGGAAAATGTGAAGTTCTCTCGATGGTCTCCTACCAACGATATTGGACCAAATAAATAAGGAAAAGTCAATTCCAATTGATAGTTCAAAATACAATCGGAACACCTTAAAAATGGGACATGTTTAGATGTCTCGAATTTCCTAAACCTGTTGTACGATTTAAGTGATTTTATTTGTATGTTATAGTTATATTATTTAAGAATATCAATGTAATAATATTGTTGCTAGACAAGTCAATGTTATTTTATACCGGATGTAACAATCATACTGTGTTTTTTCCTTAAAGGTCGGAACACCCTGTGGAATATTCTAGAATATATAAAATATTGAAATTAAAACTCAATTAGAGCCTCAGGCTTTCTTAACATTTTCTTTTTGATTCATTTGCTTGTGTTTGATAAGAAAAATGTTAGGTACGTTAACAACTAGCCATGTTTTCATCAATAAATCCTCATTTTCTGCGTAGTTTAATAAACAAGCCTAAAGTAGGTTATGAGAAGTCAACAATTTAATACACACACCGGCAAATTTAAAGAAACAAGTGTAATATGTCTTTATATTTGCATTTTATAGACTATATCTACATAGCTTTGAATGCTTCTTGTCACAAGAAAGTCTAAAATGTCAAAATGTCAAATTAATTTGTTTATTTGTATTGTTTTACATTTAACAGTCGTTCTGTCTGTTGATAACAAGTACAAAGTTGTATTTAATCGATAAGTTAATTGTGAGTTTGTTGGATGTGATTTAAACTGGGTGATTTAATACCGACTGATATTACTAGGGCCGTAACAATGGTCGAAAAAGGTCGAACATACATGCTGGAATATTTCATAAACCACCATCAACCATCCATCGCTGTGTAAGTCGTTGTAACGTTTAACCACGGTTGTAGATGATTGATTTAGAACGTTGGAAAAATTACGTAGTAGACGTCAAACGGCAGTTCAAACCAAAAACCTGTTGCAAAATGTTCGTGAAACTACCATAAGTGAGCGCACAGTAAGGAGACTTAAAGAAGCCCGTCTCAAGTCATATGGGCCAATAAAAGCTACCAGACTCAGAGACACCATCGTTTAGCACGACTACAATTTGGTCGAGTACATGAAAATTGGAATGATAACCACTGGAGTGAACTTCTCTCTACGGACGAGAGCCGTTTCTGTGTAAATTACATCGACGGTAGAGAAAGATTGTATCGACACCAAGGAGAACGAAATGCCCCTTTTAATTTTACTACGACCGTACCTTTTGGTGGAGGTTCAATTATTATGGTGTGGGGCGGTATATGTTTGGGAGCAAGAACAGAGTTGGTGGTGATTGATGATGGAGCATTAAAAGCAGATAGGTATATCAGAGATATTCTACAAGACCATGTGGTACGTTTTGCACAATATATTGGCCAAAATTTTATTTTAATGGGCGCGCAGGTAATGCGCGCCCACACGTCGCAGGCTGTGTAAGAGATTGCTTATTACAAGTGGGTATAACAACGATGAATTGGCCAGCTTGTTCCCCAGACCTGAAGATAGAGCATGTGTGGGACATGCTGGACAGAAAACTTAGGGCACGGGTTCCTGCTATTCAAAACAGAGAGGAAGTCAGAATTGCTTTGATTGAGAAATGGGAGCCTGTCTCAACAACTGATCGATAGCGTTATCAGAAGTATGAGAAGATAGAGCATGTGTGGAACATGCTGGGCAGAAAACTTAGGGTACGGGTTCCTGCTATTCTAAACAGAGAGGAAGTCAGAATTGCTTTGATTGAGGAATGGGAGAGACTGCCTCAACAACTGATCGATAGCATTATCAGAAGTATGAGAAGACGAATAACTGAGAGGTAACTTTATTACCTCTTTATATTTTAAGGTGTTGAAAGTATTCCGGATGTTAAACAATGGTAGAATCGTCCACCTCTGGTAAATCCCCACCCAGCGCAACTCCCGGAAGACTTCGATCACCTCATCTACCGTGCTCCCGTTCTTTCTGAAATCGTACTGCCCTGTGTGACAGCTCGCCTCACTCTTCAATGACTGTGTCTATTCGCTCTCTTAAACCCTCTCATATAATTTACCTATGCACGACAGAAGGCAAATAGGTAGATACTTCTCTTCCCCCTTTGGGAGTAGCACGAGCCTCGAGATCTTCCAATTTGCCGGAAATCGCTAAGTTTCAAGCAGTGCATTCATTTGTTCCAAAAGCCACGTCGGCCCCATACTGCCAATTCGTTTCACCGCTCTGGTGGTATTCCATCGAGTCCCGGAGCCTTTCGTGTCTTTGGGGCACTCAACGCTTCGTTGAGTTCGTCTAACAGCTCGGGTAACCTCAAGCTTCCTGTTCAGTGACATCTCATACAGAGACTAGAGCTTGAACTGGTTTTTTTCATAATTTCTTCCGAATATACAAGAAAAAGTAAAGGCGACAATATACATTCTTCTCTTAATCTCCTCGTATATAGGAACATACACAAACTTCCTTTTGAGAAAAAAGATTCTCTTGCTAGTGCAAGAGGCTACATGACACAAGTTAAACATCCAATATTTGCCGGAATACATGGTTTCTAATTGAAAGTCAAGAATTTACGCCAAAATCGATACAAACTGGTCATCAAACTTACAATTTACACCTGAGAAAAGAATTTGTGGACACCCCGTATAAAAAAAGATGTAAATCTTTAATGTCACAAACATTACCGCAATTACTATGAGGGAAAATAAATTTGTAATTAATTTAATTTCAATAAGTGTATTAATAACATTCTAGAAACTGACCAGCTAGACCAATTATGTTGTTTCCTAGTATTTCTTGGTTCTGTTGCGTTGGTGACATCACCTCTAACTTAATCATGGAAGCGCTATTGGTGCTGAGTTCAGATATTTGTCCGATTGGTTCCTTCTTCAAGTTGATTTCGTTCCACTTTAAAGTATTTGTTCTCGTACAGCAATTGATAGGATCCATGTACTTCAGGTGCTCTGGGGTACTAACCTAAAATTGAACAGAATGTAGAAAATTGTATCGTAGAACGATGAATGGATGATCAAACTTTGGGAAATGAAAAATTATATAAACGATTACTCTCTTATTCTTTTTCTATTTTCATTACTTTCTTTTAAGCTTTAGGAGACATTACGGTATCAGGAGTAAGATATTGCGTGAGCGAATAAACTGTGGCAGAATAACATAAAACATTTTTTTTCTTCTTTATATGTCTACAATACGTGGTGCTGCGCAATACTACCTGCTTCTGTGGAAAACATAGTCTATATAGGGTGATATCTCCATTCCACATTCCAAAAACAAAGATACTAATTTAAAGGAATTAGGACATATTTTAAGATTATTTAAGACACTTACCTGACAGTTACAAATCTGGGACTTGAAGTTACAACATTTGTCACAATGTTTGTCTTGAAACTTCTTGGGACTCTGTTGCAGAGATAGACTGGCGTCCACTGGCTGAAGTAAGTTAGTGTTGAGCCCTTTAGCGAGAAGTTCCAGCTGGCCAACTGGTATTGGAGAATAGGGAGAACCAGGAGGTGGAGTAGGAGCGCCAAACGTATAACTTGTAGTCGAAAAGAGAGAATCTGAAACTTTATTCGAAATGTACAATTAATATCACAGTGCGGCGGTATAATATAAGCTGAAATCATCAAAACATTTCGTCAGTATTATAGTGGCTTCCCACAATCGGCGATTCTACAGATCATCGCGGACAGCCGATCAGCACGGACGGCAACGCACCGCAGACAGAGCTCTTCCTACGGTCCGTGACAGTCTGTGTAGGTCCGTGACAGTATTGTTTGATTATATCATAAAAGGGTCACTCAAGCTTGTAAACATCATCAGCCCCACTTCCAGTTCCCATCGATTCTCTAACTTTTGTTTTTTGCCTTTTGTATGACGGCATTAAATTATTTCTCTTCTTTTTTATTTCTTTATTCGAAATAGTACTATTCTTCAACTGATTTTTTATTCGGTTTCATACATCGTATATATCGGTTCCGTTTCTTATGCTCTGGCGCCGTAGAATTCCATAAATTTGTTTCATTTTGATACAAATTTAAAAAATCAAAAAAAATTCGTTTGTACATTCCATTTTTAGCAAAAAACTGCAAAATTACTACAGACAACTACTCGTGTCAGCGAATGAAAAACTTCTGACTTGCACTTGTCTGTTAAAACACAGACGCGCTAGGATCGCGTTGCACGAGCATATACCGCACCTTTGATGTTACCGACTCTAGATGGATAGGACGCACCAGCACGGACGTGCCTGTGCTACCACGGACGAGACCTTTTCCACGGTGCGTGGTGCGGGCTGGTCCGGTTACGTCCGCAATATCGCCGACCGTGGGAAGCCGCTATTATACTCCAGCAAATAAATAATGAAATGAGTCATACGTGTGATATCGTTAAGTTATCGTATAATTTAGATGTCCTCATGAGTTTTACCAAGAAGCGTATCAGTAACGGAGAATTTATTTTTTATTTAGCGTATGGCATATTAAGAACACATAATTAAAAACAATATTTTTATAAAAAAAAATGTTAAATTGAGTATTACAGACGAGCATCTAATATATCACTATAATCTAAAACATTACGATAAATGACGAATACGAGCGCCTACCTAAACGTGATGTAAAAATAATAATGGGTGATTGTAATGCTAAAGTGGGAAAAGAACTTCTGTACACTGCAGTAACTGGTAACTACAGTAAACACGAAGTAACAAACGATAATGGTCAAAGACTTATTGGAGTTGTCATGGAGAAAAACATGGTGGTGAGAAGCACACAACTAAAACGAAAAGAGATATACAAAGGTACGTGGGTCTCCCCAGATGGAAAGACGGTGAATCAAATAGATCATGTTATGATTGAAAATAAATATATGAATATCGTTCAGAAGGTAAGAAGTATGAAAGGAGCTGAAATCGATTCGGACCATTAACTCGTTAAAGTCACATGTGGGAGGAGGCTGGAAGAAAAAGAGAAATCGAACAATAAAACGAAGAGAAAATACTGTTATAATATTGAAAAACTTAAGGTAGTAGAAATAAAAAATATATATGAAGAAGAAATAAATAAAATTCTACAACAATGTGACCAAAATTTATAGACGGATCAAGCCTGGGAACAAATAGAAGAGATCCAAGAGAAGTACAAACAAAGATTGGTTTGACGAAGAGTGTCAGGCGATAGCAAAGGAAAAGAAGAAGATCAGACAACAAATATTAACAGATAATAGAGAGTGTAAAAAACAAGAATATAGAATAATTCGAGGAATATTGAAAGCTCTGTCTAGAAGGAAAAAGAGATACCACAATGAGTTGAAATTAAAAGAGATGGAAGAGAAGTTTTAAAAACAAAGAAGTAGGGTCATTCTATCAAGAATTTAAAAATATGGGAAAAGGTTACCAAAGCCATAGTTATATGAAAGGTAAAGACGGAAATTTAATTAGCGATCCGGCAGAAATAATGACGGAATAGAAAAAACATTTTGAAGAATTATTAAATGGTGAGGTGGTGGACGGTTGGAGAAGATGCGATAGTTGAAAGGCAGCCTACAAAGGAGGAGGTGGTGACAGCAATACAAGAAATGAAAAATAACAGAAGTCCTGGTAAAAATGACATATGCATAGAAATGATCAAGTTTGGTGGAGAATAACTACAAGGAAAAATATACCAGCCATATATGGTATGAGGTCCGCATATGCCCTGTGCATAAAAAAGGAGACAAACTGAAGTGTGACAACTATAGAGGTATAGCCTTACTAGACACGGTATACAAAATCTTGGCAAGAGTATTGAAAAATAAACTAAATTGTTATACGGAAAGAGTCCTACATGAGTATCAGACCGGCTTTAGAAAGGACAGATCTACTGTAGACCAAATCTTCTCATTAAAGGAGATACAAACGACTTGTTATGAAGGTAAAGTTCCCCGGCATGTTTTGTTTGTGGAGATTAGACAAGCATATGATAGAGTCGATAGAGTCAAAATGTATCGAGCAATGGAACATTTGGGTATACCAAAGAAACTGATCCGGCTAGTCAAGATAATACTAAATAACTCTACGAGTGAAATTGCTTGGCAGGGTCACATATCAGATCAATTTACGGTTGCAAAAGGCTTGAGATAGGGAGATCCTTTATCGACTACATTATTCAATTTAGTGTTAGAAACTGCAATCAGAAAATGCAGCATGAAGGCGAAGAAACGATCATGAAAAATGAGCACCAGTGCTTGGCATTTGCTGACGATCTAACGATCCTAGCAAAAACCGAGAAAGAATTAAGAAGAATTGTGAAGAAAATCATTGAAGAAGCACAGAAATTCGGATTGGAACTAAATGAAGACAAAACCAAATATATTATCATGGGAGGGACAGAAGGGAAAAAATAAAACGTTAGTGTGTGGTCTGTAAGTAGTAAAAGCTATAGTTTTAAAAGGGTGGACAAATTTGAATACCTGGGTATAGTTTTCGATGAAAATGGAAAAGAGAAATAGGAGCTCGAAGCCAGAATAGCAAAAGGAAATAAAAAATTAGGTAGTTTAAGAGCCCTACTGAACTCAAAATATGTTTCTAGACAAGGTAAACTCAGAATATATAAAACAGTAATTCGACCCACAGTAATATATGCCGGTGAGACATGGACATTAAATAAGAAGAGGATACTCTGGAAAGATGGGAGAGGAAAATATTAAGACGCATATTCGGAGGACGGAAGACAGAAGATGGTTGGGAGAGAAGAACCAACAATGAATTAATGGCTTTATACAAAGAACCTACCATTACCAAGTTCGTCAAGTCAAAAATAATCAGATGGTTAGGACATGTGGAAAGAATGGCAGCAAACAGAATGCCTAAACTAGTAATAACCAGAAAACTAATCGGCCCCAAAAGAAGAGGTAGATCCAGAACGAGGTGGATTAGTCCTCCAAAAAAATGGAGGAAGACCTTAAAAACGCAAAGGTGAGGAACTAGAAAAGAAAAGCACAAAATATAAGCGAATGGAGAAATATTGTCTACCAGGTCCTTCAGAGTAGTTAAGAATGTTGTATATACATTTAAGATAAAGTTTTGTTTAAAATAATTGTAATTATTTAATATTAGGATTAAACTTTTAAAAAATGCCCCAGGCCTTAACGGCCTGTTGTGCGTAAAAATAAAAAAAAAATAAAAATAATTTAAAACATTTTTGGTCTCATTCAGGAATTCCATCTTCTTAATTTTCTTGCTATTCTGTCAATATATTACCCTCCTTATCTCTTTACTTCTTTTGTTTGAATTCCTTTTTGCTTTTGTTCAGTTTCTGGTAACATTTTCTCGTCTCTATTGGTTTACTTAGATCTTGTAGTTCTTGAAGTTATTTGTTCATAGTTTCTCTCTTCTTTCTGCGATGGATTTTCTTTTCTTCCTTGTGTAGTTATTTATATTCCCCGTCCGCTTGTCGGGTTCTGTACCCCTGTTGCATAATTAAATATGCTCTGTTTTTCTCTCGATTATAATCTGATATTCTTCGTCACAACGGTCATCCGTTCTTGTTCTCCTTTGTTTATTCACAATTCAGACTATATTATACAGTTTAAAGTAGACGACTTTAAAATAATATTACCAATATTAGCCCAGGGAAATAAGATTTTAGGTTATACTTTTAAATAACATACCTTTATTAACAAGTACTGTACATCAGGAGTTTCATTTTAAAAAAGTTTTATTTCATTAGGATGTAAAATTTAAGATTTTTTGTTTTTAAAACCTTCCGATTGCCTTTTTAGATCTTTTTCTTCGCGTGCCATATCAGAACTATCCGACGTTGGCGATCCGAGAAGCGAAGGCTTCTCGATCTTCTACAATATGGAATAATTATCCTGCATTTGGTATCTGAGTCCATTCACGAATGTTTTTTAACCAAGAAACTTGTTTTCTTCCTACACCTCTACGGCCCTCTATTTTGCCTTTAAGGATCAGTTGTAAAATTTTATATCGACTTCCCCTTACTATATGTCCCAGATAAGACATTTTTCGATGTTTAACAGTCTTTAGCAGTTCTCTGTCTTTGTTGACGCTCCTTAGTACTTCTTCATTAGTTTTTCTTGCTGTCCAAGGTATCTTCAGCATTCGTCTATGAACCCACATTTCCAATGCTTCAATTTTGTTCATTATCGATACTTTTAGCGTCTACACTTCTGCACTATACAAAAGTACAGACCAAACATAAGACTTAACCATTCTTTGCCTTAGTTATAAACTGAGATGGTTATTGCAAAGAAATTTCTTCATTTTCATAAAAGCAGTTTTAGTCGCTGCTACTCTACGTTTTATTTCTTTGTCTGGATCTAGTTGGTCCGTTATCACAGTTCCCAAATGTGTCATTTTGTGAACTTTCTCAACTTGGACTCCGTTCAATTGAAGCTTTGCATCGGGATGTGGGTCACGACTAAACACTAAAAATTTGGTTTTGTTTGAGTTTATTTTAATGCCCATTTCCTCTCCTACCTCGTGAATACGATCAATCAGAATTTAAAGACCTTCAATATTATCTGATAGAATTACTGTATCGTCTGCATATCTAATCACATT